CTTCATCTCTATGTTTCCTGACCTCAATCCATAAGGTCTCATTATTCAAAGCTTGATGATACCTGAAGAAATATCTTTATTTCAGCTAAACCCACCACCAACACCTCTGCTCCTCCAACCACACCTCCTCCTTCTCCTCCTCCTCCTGCCACCTCTTCATCTCTTCCTGCCATCTTGTTGCCTCTTGCATCTCTATGTGTGGTGTTTTTATTGGTGCTACTGGTGAAGAGACATTGTCACAAGTCAGAAGGTTAAATATCTTGAATTAAAAATACATTATTCACCCAAAGCTGCTTATACTTAATCTACCTTATTGTTTTATGACAAAATATTACTATTAATAGAAAGTCTGGCATTTCAGTCATTATATTAATTTATTTGTTATTAATTGTGTGCAGCACTGAATTGTGGGTAATATGTTTTATTTCAGCTGATAAAGGAGATGACATCATATACAGCGACGTCCAAATAACTCAACTTCAGCAGCAAAAAGTCAAACCCAGCAGAGGTGAGGATGATTATGATGATGATGATGATGCTAATGATTACTTGCCATCAGACTTGGTTGATATTTTAGTCTAAAGAACACATAAAAACCTCTTCCTGGTCACTATAGAATAAAGGTGCATAAACTCTCAACCAATCAGACGTTAAATAATCTAATCCAATCCTTCTGATCGAGTCCAGTTAATCCACTGACTTGGTGTGTTTAAAGCAGTCAGTGAGGACACAGGTTAACATGTTGGAGCAACTGTCTTTGCAGGCTGTGGTTTTTCTGCTTAACAGACTAGCAGCTCTGTGGTCGTCCAGTTTCCCGTTTCTGATTGAAACATTTCCGCAGAAAGACGACCTGCAGAATATAAACTGCCCCAAAGTACAAGAAAGAAAGATTAGAAACTTAAACATGTTTAGAAGCTGCAGCCTTTATGAAATTATTCATATTTGATAAAAGAAGCTCAATCAGAAAGGATTCAGTTTCATTCCTGCATGATATACCTACATTTCCACATTTAATTTTGGTTTGTAAAAGATTTAAAATCATACCAAATTAATACATTTGTTAAATGCTCTAACTCTGATTCCGGTGACTCTGATTTGGTTTAATTCCTGTGATCAATGCATTCAGCCATGCTGGTGGGTCTCTATGTTCCACATGTGGTTTTAGAAAATCTAGGTCAGTTAGTTTCTGCTACAGTGAGTAAGAAGCAATATACAGCCACAGCTCTCTACAGCTTTATCAGTTTCTCTGGGGCTCTATGCACGCAGCTTAACTCTATGTCACGGCTGACACTACAGACAGGATTTTTTAGTAATGTAATTGGATTCCTACATCAGAGAAACCAAAGCTACACAAAACTAATTCAAAACAACAGGCTCCAAAAACCCAGGAAAACAATATCGTTGATTTTAATCTGACCTGGTCGAACCTATACCTGCTTCTTTAAAACCACATATAATAATGTAGAAGGCTAGAAATAATTCAAAATTAATATTTAACAATTAAAGAAAATGTCTTAATGAAATTACATCTTTAAACATACTCTCTTCTCTTCTTGGGGTCGTGTTCAAAAGTGAGGGAAGAATTAAAAGGGAGATTGATAGATGGATGTGATGGACTGGCAACCTGTCCAGGGTGTACCCCGCCTCTCACCCGTAGAGATCTGGAGACAGGCAACAGCGACCCCACGTAACCCCGCTAGGGATAACTGACAGAAAATGGATGAATAGATTGATAGATGGATGGATTGAGGGGTTCAGCTGCTGCTATAATGCAGAGCTGCACCAGTCTGTTGTGGTGAAGAGTGAACTGAGCCAAAAGGCAAATCTCCAGATTTACCAGTAGATTTATCAGTATATATTCCTACCCTCACCTACAGTCATGAAATTTGGATTATGACCAAAAGTATAAGATCCTGGATACAAGCGGCTGTAATGAGCTTTCTCTTCAGCTTGCAGGGCAGTCCCTCAAAGATAGGGTAAGCTATCCACATCTCAGCTGATTCCATATCTAGAGGGTTAGAGCTTGATCTGACATCTTTTCCAGATGCCCCCTGGATGCCTCCCTCACAAGGTGTTCCACGCACATCCTATTGGGAGGTGGCAAGGGGAACGACCAGGATACACCGGAGGGACTTTGTCTCTCTGCTGTCCCCCCCAGCAGAGTTAGAGGAGGTGTCTGAGGGGAAGAAAGTATGGTAGTCTCTACTTAATATTGGCCCGACCTCTAGTAAAGGGCCCCGATTCTGTACCCCTGAAGCGTCCCTACAGGTCACCAGGAGGGACACAGTTGATTGCCTTCCCCAGGTGCACAGAACACATGTAAACCCTGTTGACCAAACCCCTAAGCACCCTCAAGCACTGTGCAGAGAGTGTTGAGCTTGTCCACTGTTCCACAGCCAGGACGAAAACCACAATGCTCCTCCTGAAGCTGGGGTTGGACAGTCCGCTGGACTCTCCTCAGCACTCCAGCAAAGGCCTTCCTGTGGAGGCTGAGAAGAGTGATCCCCCAACAGTTTGAACACACTCTTCGCCAGCCCTTCTTATGCAGAGGAGATACCACCAAAGGCCCCTTGGTTTCTGCTCGTAGATAAATATCTTTAACTACCTTTTCTTTTCAAGACTCAGCATCACTGCTTTTGGCCATTATTCGTCCCGATTCAATTCTTTCTATTGTGGCAATAGAGATTTCTTTTAAATATGCGGGAAAGGGATAATAAGCACAGGTTCTACACGGGGACTCTTTATCTCACTACAAACTTACAAGTTAGGTTGACATCATATACTGGTCTGCGTTAACAAGTAATTTACCTATCTTTATCTGCATGAAACATGAAACATAACTCAAATTTCAAGGTTTGTTTAAAAAAACTGTTAATAGTTTTCAGCCTTTTATTGAACAGGCTGCTTGCTGAACATCCTGGCACTTTGAGGCAAGGCACAGCCTTAGGAGCAGGTGTCCTGTCCTGATCCAAGTCATTAGTAATGTATGCTTATGGTGCATTTAATGGCTCCTCCGAAAACCCCATTACTACGTGTGATTAAAGGATTGAGCCACTGTAGGAGCAAAAAAAAGTGAAGGAGACATAGAGCACAGATATAGAAAGTGGGGGAAACTTGTCCCACCCATAACCCTGTCTATTATGATCATAATACTAGATAATAATAATTATAGATTACCTAAGATACCTAAGTACTCTGTATTCATAAAGTAATTTTAGAGTAATAATCTGTTTAAAAAGCGCATTTGAGATGGTTCTAAATGTGTTTTCAGCCCCCAGCCTTTGTTCCAGTTCAATGTTTTATAGCTCTGCATGTTAAACCACAGCTGCACCTTCCTCCTGTAGGTGTTGGTGGGCTGTTGTTTGCGAGTGGTGATGGTTTCACTGCAGAGTGGTCTGCAGATGTGTGTCTCAGCCTGTGCACTGTGACAGGATGTTCATTTTTATCTATGTGGTTAAAAGTGTCAGCTTAGATTGATTGTGCTGTGAAGCTCTGTGGTCAAAGTGTTTTCGCAGTTCTTGCAACCTTTTTTTTCAGCTTTTTGCAGTAAATGCGTAAAAGAAAAATAAACTCTATGGACAGTATAACATAAATGGTATTAAAAACATTAGTATCAGCCTCTGGAGAAGGTGGTAATACTACAGGTGCAGTGTTTGAACTCATTTGATCTGTATCTATTTACAGAGAATTCACCATCTCCAGTTTACTCTGATGTGAGAACAGAGGGGCTCATTTATGGACAAGTCAACACCAGAAAACAAGGAACCAGAGGTAAAACTGCCCCTGATTTGTTGTCCCAACGACTCAGAGATTAGACAGACAATTTCAGCACGTCTTTGCTCACTCCTGACTTTCACTTTTATGAACTGATGGTTGTGTGGTAACTTAAAGGAAATAGTTGAATATGTTGAGGTAGGAAGGCCAGCTCTGTGCTAGGATGACTCCTCACTGTGGGTGTGTGTGTGGGAGACAGAAGGACTCTAGCAAAAAACGCTTCACTATTCTGCAATGCATCCCACGTTTTAGAGCTCCTTTAGTGACAGACAGCTGCACCTGGATGTATTAAACAGCTTTATCACAGATCCTTCCTCCCAGCAGCTGTTAGGCTTGGTTTATGTCTGGTGCATCTAGTTTTTGTATGGAAATTAGATGGGAGGACACTAGCATGTTGCAATACCATACACATCACGATACTTGGGTAAGAATAAAATATTATCACAATATTACAATATCAAAAAAGAAAATAAAAAAGAATGTGCTGTATAGTGCGCCTGGTTTTCCTTAGATAGAAAACTTTGAATCAATTGGATTGTATGATCTGGTTGAACTGTATAGTGCCTTGAGATGACGTGTTGTGAATTTGGTGCTATATTGTCATGTTGGTACCAAGGTTTCTAACCCACATGCAGAACACAAGGACTCAGAGGGAAAAGTTCAACAGTTTATTTAGATACACAATGTTAATAAAGAACTGATTCTGGGGGATACAGGTCCAAGACTGGTCTCGACTGGTTTCTCTGCAGAGAGGGACAGAATGGTTAGCTGATGTCCAAGTATGCTTGCTGGTTGAATGAGTACAGGTCTGTACCTGTATTAAAAACATGGTTGAATGAGTACAGGTCTGTACCTGTTCAGTGGTTTGAGCTGAGCGGCAGAGGAGGGGAACCAGGAGGGTCCAGAGGCAGAAGGCAGGCAGAGGGCTTGGTAGAGGCAGAGACTTGATTTCTGATATTGCAGTTTCTGATCTGAGTTTCTCTTCCAGTTTCTTCTGAGAGCGGGCAGGCAGGTTACTGACAGATTGACTTTCCAGGGTTCTTCGGAGATCAGACAGGCTGGTTTCTG